TTAATGCATATTCGAGGAAAAATATTTCAGTGCAGAAAAAATAGTTAAACACATGAAACCTTAAATACATAAAGGATTCTAAAAAAACTACCTGAGTAAAATAATTCAACTAAATGGATTTGAAAATATGTGTAAAAAATGTCAAAAGATGAGAAGAAATATAGATAAAGGCCAAGCATGTAAATTAAAAAAAAAATGAGGATTAAAGAATAAAAGTAAACAAAGAAAAAAAAATGGGAATGAAACTTGTTTGTGGTGGTTGATAGATTCTCTAAGAACCAGGACTCCCGTTTTTCGTATTATTCTTTCTGAAAGGAAGTAGTGAGAAACCACGGAGTTTCGGTAAAGCATAACGTCCGATCGAGACAATCAATTCATGAGTATTTTTGGAGGACGTCGTCCCTAAACATCAGCATTTTGACGCTTTTATATTAGGCAGATAATTGCTAAACCAAATAGGGTGTTTATTAATTATGAGAGGCAAATTGCTAAAAATTAAAAGTTTAGAGGGAAAATTGTCAAATGCCTTCAAGTTTAGGAGAATGATTGTGCAAAATACCTTATACGGGTACTGTTAGATTACAAGTCTAGAATCACATTCATTCGGCAAGTATCACTTAAGTAGAATTTCTATTGTAAGATACAAAACAAAACTAATCTACAATAAAAAATAAAAAATAAAAGATGACTATATATCAATTAATATTTTTCGTAGGACACGATATCTAAATCAATGAGAAAATTATAAGAATAACCATTAATTTTTTGATTTATTATAAAAACTCCCTCTAAATTATACCATTTATAACACTTGGTCCTCTAATTTTTAAAACGTAACATCTGTTTTTCCTGAACAATAAAATGCTAAGAAAAAACTATATCCTTTAATTTTTTAACATAAATTGACATTTAATTTGTTATTTTAAGGTATTTTAATAGCTCTATAGTTTAAAATTTAATTTGAATTTAAAACTAATTTAAATTTAATCTTTTAATTATGATACATCAATTTTTTTGAATATTTAAATTAGTTTAAATTCAAATTAAATTTTAAAGCATAGAATTGTCAAAATACTCTCAAAATAGTAAATTAATTGTTAATTTCAATTAAAAACTTAATTGATGAGATTTTTTTGTTAACATTTCATTATTCAGGGGTACGGATGTTAAGTTTTAAAGTTTAAGAGGTAAAGTGTCATAAATGATATAATTCAAAGAAAATTTTTGTAATTAATCATTAATTTTTATCATCCTATTATTTATGTCATTGAAAAAATATTATAGTAGAACATGAAAATGATTTTAGCAAAATACAAAATATCTTGTTAGAAAAATATTCTGATAGATTATGGAAGATATTCTATTATAATATTAATAACATAAATAATAAATTTAAAATTAATAACAAAAATAAAGTAATATTATTTTTTATTATTTTTTTAAAAAAATATTGGCATAATTTTTTTTATTAATTTTTTATCATTTCTTTTATTTTTAATTTAATATGTAAACTCTATTATTTTATTTTCTACGTGTTAAATAAAAGGTAACACAAAGATTGAAAAAAAAAAAATAACGCTGACATTTCCATTTCCCCAGATTAATGCCCCGTGAAAGGCCCCGTTATTTGAGAAATAGGATGGATAGTGACGCTATATTTGGCCACAAATCAACGCACAAACATAGGAATAGGTGGCTAGTATGGACCTGAGATGTGGCACAAATTTCGGGCACACCAGAGATGTAAGAATGACCGCACTACGTCCCTATTTATTAAGGACTCGTTTAATTTATTGATGTGATTTTTTAATTTAAATTTAAATATAATTTTATGTAAAAAATTTTTATTATAATAAAAAAATTAAATATGATTATTTTAAAAAAAATTTTACTTTAATAAAATTTAAATTTTAAATTTAAATCAGTTAAGGTCCTGTTCACTTCGCTGATTCAAGTTTAAAATTTGAGTTGAGATGTGACTTTATATGAGAGTTTTTTACTATAACAAAAAAGTTAGATGTAATTATTTGTGAGAGTTTTTTACTGTAGAAAAACTCAAATTCTAAACTCGAATCAGTGAAGTGAACATGGCCTAAATGAATAGATTTAGATCATGTTTATTTCGTCAATTTGAGTTTAAATAAATTTTATTATAATAAAAATTTTTTATAAATAATCACATTTAATTTTTTTATTATAATAAAATTTTTTTATATAAAATCACATCTTAATTTAAATTTTTAATTTAAATTAATGAATTAAACTCACATTAATTATAAATTTGTGGACTGTCATGTCTTGTCATGAATTCAATCACATAAATTACTTGTTCGAACAGTGTGTACGCACACTGCCCAAGATCCCAACACCCCATTGCATGCAATGAAAAGATATGGATAGACAGAGGGTTTCCGTTTTCTCCAATGTTTGGTGCAGATTTTACGAGAACCTAGGCAAAGACGATAAAGAAAACTTCTTCACTCTTCCGTAATTGTGATGCATTACCATTTGGCATTTTTACCATATTGGGTCAACAATTTACAATTCACGGTGTTCTCATGCACAAAGTTTCGTTTATTCTATCAATTTGAGTTTAAAATTTAAGTTTTATTACAGTAAAAAATTCTCAAAAAAATCACATCTAATTTTTTTACTACAGTAAAAAATTCTCACATAAAATTACATCTTAACTCAAATTATAAATTCAAATCAACAAAATAAATGAGTCTATTTATGCATAAAATTTAAATTTCTTTTAAAATTTTCTCGTAACTTATAAATTAAATGGGGCTATAAGTTTTTAATGGAGTGTGAGAAAATAGGTATTTAGTTAGTAAACTTTTTAGAAGCATCAGAATGAGCTTGTTAATGTATTCTCTTTTAAATTTCATTTGTCTTCTTTTTTTTGTTTATATCTTTGACCGTGTTTAGAATTAGTTTTATTTTTATTTTTTATAATTTTTTTAAAAAATTATAATATTTTAAAAATGGTGTTTAACGTAATAAAGATAAAAAATAAAAATGAAAATAATTTTTTAATTTAGTATAAAATAAAAGAGAAATGAAAAATAACTTTTAGTCGTTTTTTATTTTTTATTTTTATTTTTTTCTCTCTCGAACAGAGAAAAAGATATTAATGAGTTTTTTATACTAAAAATAATATCTTAATAAAATTATTAAACATATTTTTAAAAATAATTTATGTTTCAAATTAAAAACACTTTTATTTTTATTTTTATATAAAAAATAAAATTATTTTAAAATAAATTTCAAATGCACTCTTTATTTCTTTTATTTTAAATGAATTAAAGTGTATTAATTTGCGGGAGTTTTTTATTAGTATAACTTAAAAAAGAAAAACCACATCGTAATTAATACGTCACTTTGTCCCAGGCAAATAGTAGTGTATTAACTGGCCGCGTTTAGTTCGTTGATTTGAGTTTTTAATTTAAGTTGATATGTAATTTTATTTAAAAAATTTTTATTGTAGTAAAAAAATTAAATGTGACTATTTTTTAAATTTTTTTATTATAATAAAATATGAATTTTAAATTCAAATCAGTTAAATGAATTATATCAAAATCTAACGGCACTAATACACGTGGTACAAAACAGTCTTAAGTTTTGGCCAACAAAGTTTGGTATACAAGTATACTAGTATACTACGTAGATTACCAGCTAAAAAGTAGACTACTAGATACCAAAATTTTATTGGCAAAAGAGTCATGTGTAAAAATTTTACGTATCTTACTCGGTGAAAGTTGTAGTGTGGACTGTCCCTAGAAAAAAAATATTGGGTAAAGATAATAATCAGGAATTATAATACATTCTTTTCAAAAAAAAAAAAAAAAAAAAAAAGCTTGCAGATGTAAATTTTGCATTAACTTCATTGGTTCTTCATCTGATCAGATCTAGCATTGAAATGGGAAGTCACGAGTATAATTCTCTTTCAAAAAAAAAAAAAAATGAATGTCCAGTTCAACTTTAGGTAGTAGTTATTAACCATTGCTTTTCATCATATTCTTAACATTTATGAAATTAAAAAAATATTCTGATAAAATTGTATTATGGTGGAATATGAAAAATTTCTTGCTAGGGAAAAAAATTCTGACAGAATATTAATGCATAAATAATAAATTTAAAATTGATCAAAAGTTTTTCAAAAATTTAAGGGTTGTTATTTTGTAATAAAATTCAGAAAAAGTTTAAACTCAAGTTACAATTTTATTTAAGCTCACGTTCTCTTAAGTTTTAATTTTATTCAACTTTACTCAATTTTATTCAAGTTACAATTTTAATTCAAATTATAATTAAAATTTAACTTAAAAATTATATTCAAGTTACACTTTAAAATAACAACCCGTTAGCTATTGAATAAGCCGATATAGACAAGAATGTCCTTAAAATTTTTACGGCCCGTTGAAAAACTTTTCCATCCTTGGTCAACATTTTTTTTTTTTAAAATTTTATTGGCCGACTACTAACGAGGAACGACGTTCAATGCGATGGGTGGTGCAATAATATTGTCAGTTATTTTATTTTATTTGACCAGCAAATGATATTGGGTATATTTGATAGTGATAATTAGAGTTTAAAATTAATTTTTGAGTCATTTATGATAAAAATCATAAAAAGTGACTTTTAAAATTTTTTTAAAAAATTTATAGTTAAAATTAAAAATAGTTTAAAGATAATTTTATCTTTTAAATTTCACAATAAATATTTTAAATCTATAATACCCATAAAATTAATATTTTTATAATTACAATTTATTAAATATTTAATTACTTTTTACAACAGCTATTTTTTTAACATAATAAATGATAATTTTTCTAAAATCTAGATCACTAAGCCATCGTCAATTATGTCTTTCATATTCACCTATATAAACCCCACAATCCGTTGCATTGTCCACTCAACTCAGCCTATTTCCATCCAAGCACTCAAAGCCTTTTGTTTTCCAAATCTTCTCCATCTTACTCTCCCAAGCCCCAACTCAAAGCATCAACCACCCACCCAATGGCCAGTTCAAAGTTGCTTTGCGTCCTAGTGATTTGCGTCGTCCTCGGCGCGGCGTTGCCGATGACGGAAGCGGGGTTGCCGTGCCCTAGAATCCGGGGTTTGGTGGCGCCGTGCTTGACATACCTGCAGAAAGGCGGGCAACCAAACCCGAACTGCTGCGGCGGGATTAAGACGCTTGTCAGCTCGGCTACTACCACCAAGGACCGCCAGGACGCCTGCAGGTGCTTGCAACAGTCCGCTGGCATGGTATCTGGACTCGTACCGGCTTTCGCCGAGGCCCTCCCTTCCAAATGCGGAGCCAACATTCCTTACAAGATAAGCAAATCCACCAACTGCAACAGGTACACTACAAAATCTCAACTATACAATATTGTAATGAAATCATCAAAGCTATATATGTAATATTATCATAAAGCTTTAAAATTATAAAAACGGTTTCTTTTTTTTTTTCTTTTTTTGGTTGCATATATAAGCCTATATGTGCTGGCTGATATAGCACTCACTATAGCAGTGACAAAAAAACATTGTTTCTTTAAATGATGCCAAATCATAATCAACGCCAAATGATTAAGGAAACATAATTTGATACGCCATTTGACGAATTGAGTGCGTATAAAACATGTTATATATAATTATTTTTACTCAAGAAGGTCGAAAATGTTTGTTTATAATCATAATAAGGAACTAGACTGTTATACATATATGCATGTGCGCATATATGTAAAAGATGTGTGTGTATGTAGCTATCTGATTACCATTTTTTTTCTAATTTTGTTGCAGCGTGCACTGAGGCGATGAACAAGAAAAGTGTTAGTGGTAGCATGTTTATAACCATAATAAGGAACTAGACTGTTATACATATATGCATGTGCAAGATGTGTATGTATGTAGCTATCTGATTACCATTTTTTTTCTAATTTTGTTGCAGCGTGCACTGAGGCGATGAACAAGAAAAGTGTTAGTGGTAGCATATCAAGAATAAAAAAAAAATAAGGGAAAAGAATAAAGAACTGCGTGCTGAGTTTGGATGTGTCTCCACTTTTGGCGATCGACAGATATTAGTTATGTCTTGGGCGTGTTTGTCACATACATGGCCGATTTTTGTCGGTACATGGTTAGTATGTGTGTCACAGTCCTCAGAAGTCAGAAAAATCTGTGTTGTAGCTTTCGAGATATCTTAATGGTATTTGATCTTTTTTTTTTTCTTAAAGAAATGCTTTCATTTTGTTTTCTTCGTTATTTTCTTCTCCCTCTACAGCCCTTAAACCTCTAACCTGGTTGAAGGATGAAAGCACACCAACCGCCTAGGCTATAGAGTGGGCTGTTTTCTACTTTTCTTGTTATTTTGTTTCCATTGAAAGGCACTCAAAGGCTTGGTTTAATTCCAGCATGCAGAAAACTAAACGTGTATATGAATTCCATATTCGGCCACCCAAGAATCATCTGCAAAACGAACTAAATACGCGTATAGTATACTCTGTAAATAATGTTTTACTTAAAAGTTAAAACAATTTGAATTAAAAAATGTCTACTATTCTATTTATTTATAAAAGTATGTACTATACCATAATATAAAGACTTTTATGTCTTTATACAATGAAAAAAGAAAAAAATAATGAATCATCAAAATATGAAAGTAATCAAATAAAAGCTGGATATAAAAATACTAAATACTCGTATAGTATACTGTCTGTAAATAATGTTTTACTTAAAAGTTAAAAACAATTTGAATTAAAAAATGTCTACTATTCTATTTATTTATAAAAGTATGTACTATACCATAATATAAAAACTTTTATGTCTTTATACAATGAAAAAAGAAAAAAATAATGAATCATCAAAATATGAAAGTAATCAAATAAAAGCTGGATATAAAAATATTCAGATTTTAAATACGAAAGTCAAATTATTTCATTTAATGAAACCTTTCTTTGACAAACACATAAATAAAACTATCAAGGTAAAACCCTAAAAAAAAGGATAGAAAAGGAATTAAAAAACTTATGCAAATTCGAATGCAAAAGATGATAAAGACTTAAAATAACTCTTTTAAAAAAAGATATCTTGAAACAAATACAAAATCGTCATTACCATAATGATAATGTAATTATGATAAAGATTTATAAATTTAAGTATAGGTGTAAAACAAGCGAATAAGCATTACCATATAATGATAGTGTGATTACGATAATGATACGTGCAAAATGAGTGTACATATGTAACTGTTTTAATTTTATATGTTGAATACTGATAATGTTCTATTTGATATGTTCATTACGAAAACAAACATATAATTACGAAAATAAACATGTCATTACCACATATCATTATATGGCCATGCTATATGTTTGATATGGACAAAAAATTTCACCATAAAAAGGAAATTGTGTGGGGCGGCCAATTTTGGCCAACCATTTAAACTAAAAGTCTGCTATTTTTATATTTCAAACATATGGCTGGAAGTTTAAAAGTTATTATTATTATTATTATTTTGGTAATATATCCCAATAATTCCTTCTGTTCCAAACATCACACTGTCTCAATATTTCTTTTTTCTTTCCTCTCTCTACCCCGCTGGAAAAAAAAAATGGCAAACTCTCGTCTGTCGTAAAAAATGGGAAAAGATCTGCAAGGGAAAGATTTGACGAGATCTCACGTTGCCGCCGCGAAGCCGAATTTGATCGCAGAGAAACTAGATCTACAGAAGACAGCAGCTGAATCTCTTCTCCCTTTTTCTTCTCGATTGCAACTGTGACGATGACGACAACAAATAATCAGTTATATTGATGAAGGCTATTTTTCTCTTTTTAGTTTAATCATTAATGAAAGCCGACCATTTCAGTAATTTAGAAAAGTACTTGTGGTTATTCACTTTGAAATGACTCTTAAATTAGCCATTTACCCCAAAATGAATGTGGCGTATAAAAGAAATTTATGGTTTCATTCTAACTAATATATTATAATTACGGTGCAGGAATAAACTGGCCGAGACGTTTGATTATGATATTTTACGAATTCATTGGAAACAAATCAACATGATGCATATAAAAAAAAAAGTGCGGGTACGGAAGAAAACAAAAGAAAATAAAGAGGAATCACCAAGAAACCAAAAGAAAACAAAGAGAAAATCAACAATGTTGATTCAAAACAACAAACCAATCGAGGAAAGAAGATTCAAAACATGAACTATGAAAAAACAATCACCATACATTAGATTGAAAGGAAAAGTGTCGAAGAGAAGAGTAAAATATATAGCATGATGTTGCTTTATCAAAGCTATGTGAAGAACAGGTGTCTTTTTTTTTTTTTTTCTAAATCTTTGTAATGAAGACCACGTTGTGGGGCTTTGGGAGATCATGACAAAGTTTTTTTTTTTTTAGCTGAGGATAATTTTTATGAATCAATAAACGAAAAAACAATAAAGAAAATTCCTTGCAAATAGACGGAAGCAAGGGAAACTAGAAAGAAAGCTAAAACAAGAAGGGAAAAAAAAAAGATTCTGATAAACATTAAATCTATAACGATCCCCTCACAGACGTTACAGTTTTTCATCATTTTAAAAATTCACTCCACTACTAGAAAAAGTGTGATTTTTAATGGATTGATTAATTTTATAAGTATTTTAAGGCATCCACAAATTAACTTTTTAATGCCACCACAACTTCTCTAAAGGTGTCACTAACTTAGCGTAGCTAAGTACACTTAGCGTCATAGTCAACGAATCACTATGTTAGTGAGAAGTTACTGACGCTATTATGGCGTCAGTAAGTTACTTAAAATGCCATTGGCCCCTCTTATTTTTTTAAAAAATTTATCGACGCCTTTGTCATCGGCAAGTTTTTAGAAGATGAAGTTCCCAACGCCATCAAGCGACAACAAATTTCCTAAAAATTAAAATTATTTATGCCTAATGCGTCGACAGCTTCTTATTCATTTTTGCAAAACTTTTCTATTAATTATTTTTGAACATAAATTTATTTTTCATTATTATTTAAATTTATTTTTTAAATTATAAATTATAATTGTAATATAAAATTAATAATAAATCACAAAAAAAAATATCAGAAATCTGAGAGCTCATATTAACTAATAATAAGAAAACATACATAATAGTTTCAAGTATATTATCAACATCCAAAAGTAGAAGTCTAAAATATTAATCTAAACATGAAATAAAAGGTTTAAACTGATGTCTAATAACGTGGATCTCCCGATATCAAGGGGTAATAAGCATCGTCATCGTTATCCAGCGAAGGGTATTGTGGTGGCAGAGTTAGAGGAAAGATGGTTCTTGGATCAAATTGAAACGAAGCATGTAGGAAATTGCATGTTCAGTTGAGACTTGAGAGGTTAATTGTTGAACAAAGGAGGTCCATGCAGCAAGATTGTTCTTCAATGTGCTAATATGGCTCTTTTAGGAGTTTGTTCTTCAATTCCACTAGCACTTGGTCATGCGAGTTTGTTCTTCTTCTGTGAGAGGAATATGCCGAGTATCATCGTTTGATTTTGATTTTAAAGATTGTTAGGTCTGTAAATCTTTAAGCGCCAACATGTAATTCTGAAGGGAAAAAAAAAAAAAAGAAAACCCTCATGAAATATTTGAAACTTACTATTTGCTCCTTAGTACTCCAATGATCATAGAGCTATATTCAATCTTCGTCATTAATAATGTCAGTATGGGGAATCTCTTAGCAATTTTTGGTGATATTTTTCCACCAATATTCTTGAAGTGTTTGCGTAATGAACACCTCTAGTTTCTGTAAGATTCCCTCATTTGACCATCTATAACCTTTTTTATGTATGGTGACATTGTAAAGTCAATCTTTCCTACAAAATAAAGAAATTAAAATGTCAGAATTTCATAACTAAGTGTGAAGTTTGAGAGGAATTAGTATTTTAATATACTTACAAGCATCCTTTTATAAATAGGAGCTTTAATTCTGTCACTTAGTTTGTTAAAGAGTACTTTATATCGAACCGGTAAATAGGTTCGCACAATAAGTTCCAAATCACGTGCCCAAATACCATGATTAATGTGGCCAATTATTTTTAAAGTCACTTCATCAATTATTTTTTAACTTTCCATCATTACGCTTTTTTTGGATAGTTTTACCGGTGTACATACCTTTTTCGCAATATCCCTCTTGTGAAGATACGATAATGCAAAACCTGTTTCAAAATTCCAACTTTGCAGAATTGCACATTTCAGAGTCAGGTCAACAATCGTTTATTAAAAAAGACTTGCATCACATATTGTTGACACTTGACATCCCAAACACAAATAATTTCATCAATCAAATATTCGGAGTGTTGGCATAGAACTGTCAATGTTCTTCATTTTAATTGACTATTCAACTATCTATCATAAACTAAATACAATAAAGTTTACCTTCTCAAAATTATTATTCTTAGCTGCCTTATTGTTTTTCTGTATCAAGGTGTATTTTTGTTTATTATTTTTGGTCATCCGTGTCCGACGTGACAATTATTAGAATGGTAGTTTAATGAATTATTTGCAAATAATTTAGGGGTATTTATGCAAATAAATTATTAAGGCCTCGTTCAGTTTATTGATTCGAGTTTTCAATTTGAGTTGAGATGTGATTTTATGTGAGAGCTTTGTACTGTAACAGAAAATGTTAGATATGACTTTTTGTGAGAGCTTTTAACTGTAGTAAAATTAAAATTGAAAAAATCAAATCGGTGAAATGAACGAGGCCTAAACTACCCCTCTAATAATTGCCACGTCATCAAATCCGTTAGTCAAATAAACAGAAGGGGCCAAATTAATAACGTTTTAAAATTCAGGGAGTGTACAGACCAATTTTTAATGTTCAGGGGATAAAGTGACAAAAAGACCAAAATTTAAGGGACAAAAATAAAATTTATTCAAGAAAAAAGACAGAAAATAAGAAAGATTTTTAGACAATTGGGGCCACCTCAGTTTACCTTTCGAATGTGACCGGATTTTAGAAGAGAAAATGTACTATTCATGTTACTGTAACATGAAGTACAATTTTGTCCCTGCACATGCTTTCATATATATATAAATATATATATATATATATAGATATATATAGAGAGAGAGAGAGAGAGGGGTAAGGTGTCCGATCAAGCACTTAGAAAGTGCCTGATCAGAATGACAGTTGTATATTTCTATATAAATTGTGTATATTTAGATATAAATTGTGTATATTTACATGTAATTCGTGTATATTTAATATGAAATACAACAAATCAGCCAATATACATATTTTCATGTTATGTGTTTACTAATTGCTATAAAATATACATGTTTTGAGGATTAATATAGATTGTCATTTTTTATAACTTAACATACACGACTTTACATGTAAATATACACAATTTACATATAAATATATATAATTTATACAGAATTATACAATTATTATTCCGGTTAGGCACTTTCCAAGTGCCTTACCAGAGACAATTCCTATATATATTGCTCTTTGTAGTTTTTTTATTAAATGTTTTATCAGTTTTTCAGTTTTTTCCTTAAAAAAATACTATTCCTCTTTCACGTTCAATATATATATATATATATATTAATTTGATTATTGCACATTGTAATGTTTTTCACTTACAAATAATATGAAAAATAACTTTTTAAAATACTAACAATGGGTAAAAAAGTAATTTAAGAATAAAATTTTATCTTTTCTCTCCATTGAATTTCTAATACTAAACGAGTGAAAATAAACTTATTTTTTTCCTTCTTTTGTAACAAACAATATAAACGAAAATCAATTTCCTTTATTATTACTATTTTTCATTATTTTCATATTTCTTAGTCACTAATCTGATTTTGGTAGAGTGGCACTATTTAATTTTAGAAAAATTAAGGGTGAATTATGAAACAAGCAGGTTCCAACAGCTTTCTCCGACTAAAACTCTTGAGAGTCTGTTTGGTTCATAGATTAGAATTATAAGATTAGAATTATTTTTAATTTATGTGTATTTTTTATGAGAAAAAATACTATAATAAATCATGAATTATAATTTAAATTAGAGAATGAATCATCTAACTAAACGGGCTAATATTTGATCTTCACAATCTTTTATGGTTGTCTACTGGCCTCCGAACAATGTATAAATACTGAATTTCACAAGGAAAGGGAGACGTGGCCTTAATGTACATGACATAAATTTTCGCTGAATATGCACAGAAGAGAAATTAGTTAACATAATTAATGGTTTGACAACAAGCCCCCTTTTCAATTAATTAACGTTACCAAGGTGCCGTGTGTATTCTTCTTCACCAACACGTCGTGTGTGCATATATAAGACACGTGTCTTCCATCTCTATATACAATTTCCTTCGTAATTAAGAGAGACCTCCACAGGTTAGATATGATTAAAAATCGTATCATATTAAAAAAATAGACATAACATATAATTTTTATACATATTTAATATTTAAAAAAATAATAAATTATCGACCCTACAATTAATACAATAGTAAACAACAACCAACAAACTTTCGTAGGTTCAACAACCTAGCTAGTATTGCCCTTTCTCTTCATAAATTGTAACCCTAATTATTTTCTTTCAAGAAAATTCATAAGCACATGACCCCTCATTATATTCTTGGAATCAAGTTTGGCTCATTCCTTAAATAGCCATTTCCAAACACCAAATAAAGGGGAATATTGTTTTTCATTTTTTATTTTCTTTCTCTTTTTAAGTTTAAATTATATGAACTCTAAGTACCATAACCTTTTGCTGATACTCTCAAGTGCCATAACTTATTCGAGTAGTTTTCATCATATTTCCTTTCGAAATTTCTTATTGTAAGGCAGTCACTATAGTTAATTAACTCGCTTTGGGACTTGGGATAATGAATAATTAAGACACAAACTTCACCATAATACAGCTCTATTAATTTTGCGAACTGCTCAACCGTCAGCAGCAGGCCCATGTAATAGAACCGAAACGATAGATATTGGTCAAAATCACTACTTTAAAGCACAACTACCACCAAATACCCTCCCAATTTGTCTTGACCCCTCTAATTTCCCCTATAAATTGGGAAGACCAAATTTTCCGTCCTCCACATCACATTCTACACAAAATCCTAGCTAGAAGTAAACAAAAGTTTATTGTACCCCAAAAACCTTTTTTTTTTTTTTTTTTTCATTTGCAGTTTAGTACTTAATTTGTAGATAATATTGGAATTACAATGGCAAGCTCTTCAGTAGTGAAGTTGGTTGTTTGTTTGGCCGTGGTCGTTGGTGCCCCTTTGGCTGAGGCCATAACTTGTGGACAAGTGTCGAGCAGCGTGGCGCCGTGCATTAACTATCTCAAGGTCGGTGGGGCGGTCCCAGCGGCGTGCTGCAACGGGGTTAGGTCTCTAAACAGCGCGGCCAAGACCACGGCGGACCGCCAGGCGGCATGCAATTGCCTCAAGACAGCCTCTGCTTCCATCAAGGGAATCAACCTGAGCCTCGCCGCCGGACTTCCCGGCAAGTGTGGCGTCAGCGTTCCTTACAAGATTAGCCCCTCCACCAACTGCAACAGGTATAATTCATGTGACTACACGAACTAAATTAGTATTAATATTGCACTTTGTTTTACATTAATTCATATGCCAACTTTAAAAATTGTTGATTTATATAGTAGGATCGATCTTTTCTGATTTATATCTGATTTTAAAATTTAAGTATGAGTACTTAAAGAACCATATTTAAAGTATAATTTGTATAAAAAAAAAAAAAATTCAGTATTGTGGCAAAAAACTGAATAGAGTTAGATCTAGTGCTATTACTTATAATTTTATGAACTTGTAAATTTGACAATTGAATTTGGTTTTGTGGTGCAGCGTGAAGTGAGATGGATGAGGTGGATGTTGATCATCAACTATATATGGATACATATATAAGGATACTAAGATATTATATAGTAGAGTATATATATGACAATAAAGTGTGCGGGCGATTATGCATCCGTACATGCATGTATGTGGCTCCTCCTTATGTACGGAGTCCGTATATTTGCTGTAATTTCATGTATTCTCTATGAGTAATGAAGTTATTAGCTTGCCTTTATGATAGTTATACTACTTTTACAGCTTCTTATATGTATGATATAGTTTGATTATATAGTATGCTTCTTAAGCGTTGACTACTTTTGAAAGAGCTTAATCCCTATTGACTGTGAGAATAGTTTAGATGATTTAAATGACATGTTTAATCAAAATGATGTCTAACTAATCAAATTATGACACGTTATTAAAAAAAATTTTAACTAACTATTTTATACTTTTAATGTTTAAATCCATTAAATGACATGACAAATTACAATTTGTTAGATACTATTTTTTTTTCTTGAGAAATTCCTTACTCACAATATTATAAGGAACGTAATAATTTTTGTTAGTTTACTAATTGTTCATCAACAAAAGTCCAACCTAAGAAACACTATTTTAACCATGTTAGTACATCAACTTTTTATTTAAAAAAAAAATTAAGCTCACAGAAGATTGACCAATATTGCTGCTTTTTATTTCTCATTATATATCAAGAAAACTGCGCCATATGTAAGGCTGACACTAACGTTTATGCTTTTATTAGATTGTTTGATGCAAGGAAAACTTGTTTTTTGCCATCAAAATATTCGTGGCGAAAATGTCTTTTGATCATAAACTTTTCTGCGACTAAAAAATTTTGTTTTGTTTTGTTTTGTTCTGTTCTTTTTTTTTTTTTTTTTTGAGTAGAAAACTAAAACATTTTGTTGTCATATGGTCGTAACAACTCGGTGGTATAAAGTCTTTTGGGACTATTTTTTTATACTAAAAATTATTATCGTACGTTGAAATTAAGTAGAGCATTTTCGTTGCAAAACGTACAAAATTTTCAGTTTTCCATTCCACAAAATAATTATAATATACTAATAATGTGAAAAATAATGATGATAACAAGTTTTAATTGTGGAGGGACCTTTTTGTAAAGTATTTGGTGGGTATATGGATTATTACCACTAGTTGAAAGTATAGTGGATACAACGACACTTTTTAAACGTTGCTAAAAGAATACTTAACGATATTTGAAAAAGCATTGTGAAATCAAAAATCATTCTATATCCCTCACATTTCAAGACATTTTTGAACCTTCATTTGACATGTGAACTCCGCTATATCATTTTATGTTTAAATAATAATATATTATGTTCATAAATTTTACTCGTCAAATAATAAATATAGAGAGTGACAAAAAAAATGACAGTGACGCTAGCATTTCTCTTGTTGAATGTGTTTGAATGACATAAGTTCATATGCCAACATATAATCGATTTCTAATAACTAACAGCCTATTTCCCAAACGATAACATAAATGCACTGAAGTAGTGCGGCTAGTGGCCGATCGATTTCTTTATACTACATTCCAAAATTCCAATACTATCCGAACCATATTCACATTGCCACTTCAAGATGACTTCTACGTAGCAACTTGATCCAACATCAAAACTGGTAATTTTATTTCGTCATATATATTGATGCTCAGAGCCCGAAACCATGTTGTAATATATTGGTCTAGATCACATCAGTATACCAGAATAAATAATAATAACTCCTAGCACTGCTGTGGTTGCCGAAAGGATAGGATTTTAGAAGAAATGGTATAAAATATCTATCTATATCTATATTTATATCTATACCATATCTAAAAAAAGAAAATATATTTCTCCCTTTTAGGTCGTACGAAACTTTCGTGCGTGAGCCAAAGCGCACGAAATGTTTTCGCATGATTTTTTTATTTTTTATTTTTACTTTTCTGAGTTTTTTTTAATTAATTTCTTATTTTTCCCCGCCTTCTGTCTTTGTTTTTTTTTTTTTTTTTTTTTCCATTTTTATCTTTGTTTCTTTTTTCCTTTCTTTACCGAGCGCGTGTTTTGGCTAATAGTTAAAGAAAATAGAAAGGAAAGAAAAAGTTTTCTTTGTCTATGTTATGCAGAAAGCAACGAAATAAAACTTTAAAGAATTATATTTTGGTCCTTAAACTTTTAATTTTAGCATATTAGTACACAAATTTCAGACATAAAGTACGAAGGTCTTCTTCATTGAATCTAAGCCTTATATTCAACAAATTTGAGGTACGTAATTATGGCCGTTAAATAAGTAGAAGCACCTTGTGACACAGGACATTGCCGACTCCTTGTTTTTGGACCACTATTGATGAAAGAGAAGCTACGTAGAGAACCAAAGTACGTGTATATATACAGTATCAGTTATTTAGACTATTTGTTGCAAGTCCTAGGGACTAATTATAGCCAGGCCAAGGTTTGAGGTCTTAGGTACTTGAAATATTTCCTAAGATTGTAACATACATATGCATTTGAATTTAATTATTATGGTACCAAACGTATTGTGCACATAAGTTTTTCCTTTTTCTGAGTGACCATACTATGAAGTATGACCGAAACTGCTGCTATCATAATTGTGGACACAATTGCATTTGGAAGATTGTATTCATCCACTAATAAATCTTCGTCACTCACAAAAAAATGAATCTTATTATATTAGATCCTAACTACTTACTTAACGTGACACACTTTATATGAATAGTGGAGATTTAATCTTATTGAGATGAATATATATATGAGAGCTCATTATATTTTGTTTTTACAATATAGAAAGAAATTCATTTAACTTCTTTACCTTTGTAATTAAAATGAAAAGCGTACTACACCTGTATGCAATATTTTGTAGCGCTATGCACGGTCCGGTTTAGTTCCAAACCATCAGTTTTTAGATGGGACTGTTCTGACGGTTTGAAAAAACTCCAAACTAGACCAGAGTGGAGTGTTTATAACAATGAGATCCGACCAAACAAGGCCATTTCAAAACATTCTGGTCTGACTGCACCGTTTCTTGAAAGTTTTTTTTTAGTTGCTATATTTTATATGTATGAAAGACTAATGGTTAGTTTGGAAGTAAAAACTACCACCCAAACAAATTTAAGTAAAAGTTAAATGCAACAGATGAACAAAATCATATATTACATGTTAAGGAATGAGATAAGAGCCGACCTTATAAAAAGAAAAAAGCGTTTGAGGCTCGTCATTCCTTTCCAAGAAATGGAATAAAGGGCCTACCTTAGATAGAGTAGTAACAAGAAAGAGGCCCGCTATTCCTTTCCAAGGAATGGAATAAATGGCCTACCTAGTCAGACCAGTGGACTAATACCGCGTAATTAGTCCGGTTAGATGGTCTCAGGCAAATTGTTCACAACCCTTAGGGGTTGTTCTTTTACATTTTTGAGTTAAGGTGACTTGAGTGATGATTTTGAGTTGAGTTTGAGTTATAATTTGAATTGAAGTTGTAACTTGAGTTTGTGTTTGGATGTGCACATTTGAGTTATGATTTGAATTGAGAATCTTTTTGAGTTTGTGTTTGAGTGGGTCAAAACTTAAATTTATAGTTAGATAGTATTTTAATAAAAACTCAATGGTGATGAAAAATGTTAATAGGGTATATGGGTGGGGTTTTATTCGTCTTTTCATTGTAAATGCATAGGAAAAAAATAATCTCAATCAGAATTAAAACGAAAAAGTTATGACATTTTTAAGAATAGAAAAAATACTGTTCATTAACTTGAGTTCGAGTTTATGAACTCGAGTTGAAGGGGAAACTTGAACTCGAGTCCAAACTCAAATTTTACCAAAGAACATGAACTTAAATAAAGTTATAACTCGAATTCAAATTTTATTTGAGTTTCGTTTCAAAATAACAACCCTTATTGTTTATAACCAGGAAAGCACAACAAACGTTTATTGATGAAAAAGAAGAAAAAATGGTTTGATAGTGAAACTCTATGAGCTTGGCTTGGAAAAGTTGCAGTAGAATACGTCATATATATTTATATATATATATATATATGGAGTTTGGCTACATTCCATCACGGCTCTTTAGAATTTCTAATTTTTTTTTACTGTTTAAATTGATCTCAATGGTCTATATTCACATAGGGATATTGATGTAACATGAAATTTCTATAAGTTGTAAACCAGTTACCTACTAGGGGCACTAACATGTAGCTTTTAACCCAATAACATGGGTTCAGTTGCTTTTTTTTCTCTCTCTTTTACCTCTATAAAAATAAATTTAAAATTTTTTTAACTGAGACGATTTTTTTTTTATGCATTAATTGGAGCAAATAAAGGAGCAATCCTTATCAATATAGCCTATGAAATTCTACTATGGATATTAAAATTTTTTTAACCGAGACGGAGCTACACCACCCTTCCCCCGAATGAGATTTCAAAATCAGGATTCCTGTTTAATTCGAGGATTTATGTTCTATTTATTTTATCGATTTAAGTTTATAATTTGAGTTTTGTTACAATAAAAAATTTTTAAAAATAGTCACATCTAATTTTTTTATTACAGTAAAAAACTCTCACATAAAGTCACATCTCAACTTGAATTAAAAACTCAAATCATCAAACTAAATGGCCATAAATTTTTGTGAATTGAACTCCAAATAAGACGATTCTTTCTTCCTATATATGCATTTCTCATCCTGATAGCCCATGAAATTTGCCATACACATTAGGTTTTTTGAGATCCCAGCAACATGTCTTTGATTTATTTTTGCGTTTTCTCTCTCTTCTACATCTATAAAAACTAAAGCTTGAAAATACATGACTTCTTTGTCTTAATTTTAATTGAGATGATTTTTCTTTTGAGGCATTCAAAATGAAGAGATGAACAAATTCTCATTCATATAGCACATGAAAGTCTACCCGGATAATTAGGACCCGTTTAAAAAGTATATTCAAATTATGATTCTCGATTATAAAAGTTTTAAATTTAAATTTAAATTTTTTTATAAGAAAAAAAATACTGCATCATAATTAATAATTTAAGTCTTAGTACAT